GTACAAAATATAAAAAATAGTTAAAATTATAATAAAATTTGGTATCACTATAATGGCGCAGTCGTTTCAAATGGAGAAATATAATATAAAGGAGTGCAATATGGAAGTTTATTTATCAAAGATGAAATTCATATTTAAAATTGCAAAAATAGAAGACAAAAAATCATTTTTATTAGCGAATTTTGGATTAGAGGTTTATTCTAAATTATTTAATTTGTGTTTGCCAAAGACATTAGAGGAAATATCATATGATGACATAATTAAACTTTTAAAAAATTATTATATGAAATGACGAATTTCATGTTAGAAAGATATTATTTTTTTTAAATGGAACAAGAAAAAGATGAAACCATTGTAGAGTATATTAATAAATTAAAGATAAAGGCAAAGACGTGTGAATTTAAAGATATGTATAATACAGTATTGCGGGACAAATTAGTGTCAGGAATTAATAATGGAAAAATATTAATGAATTAATTATCACGCAGGAATTGACATGGGAAAGTGCAATACAAATCGCGACCGCAATGGAGACTGCAGAAATGATGTCGTATGAAAAATTATCTGCAGGGAAGGAGATAAATAAAATCTCAAAAACATTAACAAGGGAGCAGTATGACAAGTACAAACCAGTATCAAAAATTATTTGCCATTGTTGTGGATTAGGAGATCACATAAAACCTAAGTGCCCTAATTTGAATGCCATCTGCCATAATTGTGGGATAAAAGGACATTTACAAAAAGTATGCAGAAGGAATCGTGGGAAGAAAGAATATATTCGAACGATAGATGTTCCAGAAAATGAGTGAGAAAGTTTTGAGGATTGGGAATTTCCAGAGGAGTCTCGAGAAAAATTTGAGGTGAAATTATTGATAGATAAAATTTATATTAAATTTTTAATTGACGGATCGGCAGTCTCCATTTTGAATATAGAAGACGTTTACCGTTTAAAAATACCAATAACAAAAACGGATATTATTTTAAAATCTTATAATAATGTAATGATCAATATTAAGGTAAATGTATATTACCCGTTAATTATATGAATAAAGTTATATATCATGAATTTATTATTGTAAACAATGGGATTAATTTGATAGGTAGAAACCTAATAAACAAATTAAAATTAATAAAAATAAATCAAATATAGTTAATGAGGTTTGGGAGGATAATATTGTACATAAATTTTCCTTATTATTTACTAAAAAATTAGGTTTACTAAGAGGGTTTAAGACCAGTTTATCGGTAAAATCCAACCCTCAGTTTCAATATATGAAAAGTAGACCGATACTATTTGCGTGGAAGGCAAAACTCGAAACGGAATTACAACGACTGGAATCCATGGGAGTTTTAGAAAGACTAAAATACTCGAATATCGCTTTTCCGATTGTGCCCGTATTGAAGAAAGATTGATCTTTACGAATTTGCGGTGATTTCAGACAAACGGTTAATGCAAATATTTTGATAGATAAATATCCTTTACCCAGAATTAATGAATTATTAGCCTCACTAGGTAATGGGTGTAAATATACAGTATTAGATTTATCTGAAGCGTATTTTCAAATAGAGCTAGATAGGCAAAAAAGCTGTTAGTAATCAACACGCCTAGTGGATTGTATCGTTTCACACGACTTCCGTTTGGGGTAGCCTCAGCGCCAGCGATTTTTCAACAAGCAATGGATTCATTATTAAAGGGATTACCTGGAGTAGCGGTATATTTGGACGATATAATAATTACGGGGGAATCAATTGAGAGTCATAAGAAAAATTTGATAAATGTATTAAAGACGTTAGAAATAAACGGTTATGAAATTAAATCTAAAAAAAATGTGATTTTTTTAAAGAAAAGATTGAATTCTTAGGTCATACCGTTCGCACCGTTACCTAAAAACGTTAAAGAATTACAAGCTTTTATCGGTATAATAAATTATTATCAAAAATTTATAAACAATTTTTCGACTATTGCCGCTCCATTATATAGGCTTTTAAGGAAAGATGTGCCATGGAAATGGACAAATAATGAAACAATTGTAATTAATAAATTTAAAAAATTAATATCAGAAGCACCAATTTTAACACATTATAATCCGGAAAAACCGATAACTCTAGCTGCTGATGCGTCTCAACATGGAATAGGATCAGTTATATCTCATATCATTAACAACGAGGAAAACCCGATTGGATACGCGTCTCGAACATTAAATGCTGCCGAACGAAATTACAGTCAGATAGAGCGTGAGGCTTTAGCAATTATATTTGGATTAATTAAATTTAAACAATATTTAATTGGCAGACATTTCATTATCATTACTGATCATAAACCCCTAATATCGTTACTTAATCCACATAAAAGAATAACAGATATGTCATCCAGATTAGTAAGATGGTCATTACTACTAGCAAATTATGATTATGAATTGCAACTTCGAGGGACAAAAAAAAATAGTAATGCGGATATGCTTTCCCGGTTTCCAATTGTCGGTAAACCATCTGCTTGGGAAGAGTTAGATATTAATTTAATAGTATCGGATGCTCCACAATTTATTTCAGCGTTAGATTTAAAAGCACACACAAGAAATGACCCGGTATTATCAAAGGTTTCACGTTACCTTACAACTGGATGGCCAAAGATAATAGAGGAAAGTCTAAAACCGTTTTTTCGAATGAACTCACGATGGAGGCAGGGTGTATATTATGGGGATTAAGAACCATAATTCCAAAAAAATTACAAGTAAATATTTTGTCTTTTTTACATATGGGGCATCAGGGTTATACTAAAACAAAATTATTGGCACAAGAGAACGTTTGGTGGCCGAATATTAACGAAGATATCGAATTACACGGTAAGAATTGTGAATTATGTCAAACAAATAATCCTGGCAATAAAACGATCATAGGGAAATGGCCCTCCGCAAATAAACCATGGGGAAGAATTCATTTAGATTTTGCCGGACCAATTAACGGAGATATATATCTAGTAATAATAGATAGTTTTAGTAAATGGCCTGAAATACAAAAAATGACGACGAATAATTTTACTGAAGTAAGAAAATTGTTGTTAAGACTTTTTGCTATTTTCGGTTACCCCAATACGATTGTTACGGATAATGGCCCCCCATTTCAAAGTAAAGAATTTAGTTTATTTTGCAAACAATTATCAATTAAAAATGTATATAGTGCCCCATACCACCCTAGAACCAACGGAGAAGCGGAGCGGTTAGTACAAACTTTTAAAAAAACAATGATTATAATAAAATACAAGATTTTTTGTTTAATTATCGAAATACGCCACAAATAACCACAAAACAATCACCAAGTTCAATTATGCTTAAATTTCAACCCATAGGACCTTTACAATTAATAAAACCAATTTATCCTCATCCATATATACCTCAGTTACCATGTTTTTTTAATATAAATGAAAAAATATATGCAAAATATTTTAAAAAAGATAATTGGATACCAGGTATCATCGTTAAAAGAACAGGACCAATGACGTTTTTAGTTGAAACTAAATTAGGGGTATGGAGAAGACATATTAATCAATTAAAACATAGGTTCGACAACTCCGATTTAAAAAATAGAGAGGAGGGAAGAGAAGAAGAAACGATGCAAACTACACCACAAATGAATGAAAATGAGCCTATACAAAACTCAATGACTAAAGACATTGATCCTATACACGAATTGGTGACCAAAGACATTGACCCAATACAAGACTCAATAAACAGAAACACCATCATAAATGAAAAGATGAAAATCGACAGTAATGAGCAAACGGTGGTAGAGAACGAAAGTACAAGCAGCCGTTATCCAAAACGGATAAGAAAACAATTTATACCGTTTCAAATCGAGAGCCCAAAAAAGGAGAGAATAGATGTAATAGAAACAATTAACCTCAAAGGCAATTAAATATACGATGAATTTTAAATATATATATTATTAATTGTGTACGACGATTAATTGTTTGTTTTGTAAAAAATATATACGGCGGTACAAAATATAAAAAATAGTTAAAATTGTAATAAAATTTGGTATCACTATAACGCCAATCTATAAAATATAAATAATAATATTTAAATTAACAAACTACAGAAATAGTGCCTAGTTAAAGAAATTCATGTGATAAAGAACAGTTGATTAAAAAATAACCCTTTTTTCTTAAAAAATTTGGATTAATATTTTTTATTTTTAAATGAACAAAAATAGGAAGATTTTCTAAAATTGAACAAACGTGAAAAACTAACGCGTTCATCTTAAAAGGAACGCTTTCACGTTCAAAGTTCATCATTTTTTTTGAAAAAAACGAACTTCATTCACGAACGCGTTCGTTTACAACATTATTTAAATTTCATTATTTTATATAATTTTGCAAATATAAATTGAAAATATGAGTAGTAAGTAAATAGTACTCGACTTTTGTATGATTCCTGCATGTCTCTGATTTAAAGCCCACGGACGTACCCTGCCACTATGCAATTATGAAAATTATTTTTTATCATTATCTATCCTCAACCGAATCTTTTTAAACTATATTCTTAAAAGATCAGACGGTATTACCCTAATAATGTCGTTCTTCCAAACCCAATAATTCAGAATTGGCCCTAGCTCATGCTTAAACCTCATAAAATGTTCTGGCTTTAACAAAACATTGCTATTTTTTTATCCCAATCACCAAACATTGGAAATTTTGGCCATAGAGCATACCAAAAAATTCTCATCTCAATATAGGTTCTTTTTAATTTAGCCAAGATCTACCTGATGATGTAACTCTTCCTAAGCATCCACACTTATCTAGGCTGATCATATTATTTATTTTTAAAACTTTTATTTAATCACTTTTTAGCCACCCACCTCATTCTCCTTTTTTACTTATTTGTTGGAAATTCCTTTTTGATATTTGCCATTTATAGTATAATACCTCGTTATATTCCATATTATATTCCTATGTTACTTAATTTTTAAATGTTTATCAATGTAACTCTCTGGGTGTTGCTAAGACCTTCGTAAACTTGATGGAAAGATGTAAATCGGAACAGGCTAATGGCAAAAATTTATTCGAAAAGAGGGACAAATTAGAGGCAATAATAGCTAATTTACCTGGCCCTGAGGTTAATTCTGAGTACGAATCGCAAGTGAATGAAATAAAAGCTTCTTTCTCTCCTGCTGACCTAAAAACCATGAACGACATAACATCCTCTGTTGACAAGTTATATATATATATATTTACATCTATAGTAAAGCTTCTAAAGGTAATTATCTTTTTGCCTTGACCTCTTTAATTCGGTCACTGCCACTTTCAAAATACCTATCCTAAATATAATAATATTGACAATATCTTGATGTGGAACAAAAAAAAACCTAAATATGTTTTTTCCTGAGTGAGATTATAGGGAATAGGGATATCTCCATTGCAAGATGACCATTCTAATTTTATAATTGATTTACTTAACAACTAATGGTTACTTTATCGATTAATTGTCGGTTTATATGTCTCAGCCAAAGTTTATCATACTATTACACATGTTAATTCTTAACTAATTTTTAATCAGACTTATTTCCGTAGCTATGGACGTCTGACTTGCATTCCAAAGGTTGGAGTTCGAATCCTCATCATCATAATTTTTTTTGAAAAATTATCGCCAAATTTCCCTTTGTAAAATCAAACTAATAACTTAGGGCTGCAGTCTAATATCAAATTCAATTGATCCCACCAAAATAGCTAGAAGTAGGTTTGGTTTATATTTTTAAAAATGAATATCATTGTCCTTAAAATTAAAAGAAAACATTGGCTGAGGCGATCGAAAAACCTGCACACCAGTGGCAACATGTTTTTTGAACAAATGTAACCACGCTATTTGCTACTTTTATAATAGCCATGAACGCGTTACATTTTTATGAAACGTCACATTTATTAGATTGTAAGTTTTATATTGATGAATATAGATTTACTAATAGTTGCTTGACATATTTGCAAAATGGATTAAATTATTTAATTTTTAATATTAACTAGTGTTGTTAAATGGGTCGATTTGAGCCGATTTTTAAAAACGGCTAGCTCATATATTTTATAAAGTAAATATTGCGCAAGCCTGAAGATTTTCTTTATATATGGCAGGAAGGGTTGGGAACCTATTACCGAAATCTCTGCTAATGCAATATTTTTCTGGCTAAAATATTGAGTTGGCTGTTTTTAGAAATCGACTCAAATGAGTCGTTTAACAAACACTAAAATTAACTAATAAAATTAATCCCATTTTTATAGGCTTCGCAGCGCGTTATTTCAATTAGACGAAGTCATACTAATCATGGAAATACATCGTCATTATATATCCTGATTGATTTTTCTAACAAATATTTTGAATTTGTTTTATTATTTATTCAATTGAAAAACCCAAATAATTACAATTGAATTATTATTATAAATAAACGATTACAATGCCTTATTAATATTATATAATAAATATTGTGCTTTAAATAAAATTATAAATAGCAAAATATTGTTGTAATAATCATAAAATTTAAAAAGCTTATATGATTGGGTTTTAATAATAAATTCAAATTAATTATCTTCTTTGAAGATTTTTTCCAATTCCTCTACAGAATCTAAGTTCAATTCTTTCGCTAATTGTTGCAATTTGTCGTGGTCTGAATCTATTATTTCATTTATTTTTTCACCTTCGTCTTCACCCTCCTTTTTGCCCTCTCCAACTTCCTGTTCACCTTCTTGTTCAAATTCATTTTGACCATCATCCTCATTTTCGATGGATCTTTTTTCAACTTGATCGGGCCCCAAATTTTTCAAATTGAAGATTGTTTTAATTTTTTTGGCTTCATTTTTTGAAACATCTTCTATAGGATTATTCTTTAACTCAACTTCCTCCTTTTTCTAAGATAAATTATAAAATTTAATATCAGATTGAATAAAGCGTAATCGTAAATCGCTTTATTTAAAAAAATTAGATATAGTTTTAACCAAGGTATCCAACTGAAACCGAAATTAACCATGATTTTCCAATTATTAACAGGGAAGATAAAAGAGCCGTTATATCTACTTTTAAACCCTTTTAAAGCGGTTCATAACATTTTTCGAAATAATATTGATTTATATTAAATAATTAGCATAATCTAAAAATATTTTTAAAATCATTAGTTTAAAATTTTTTATGTATAGCTATGTTTATTTAAATTATATTTTATAATAAAATAAATAATTTTAACTTATTTTCCTTAATCATTGTTTGGTATCTATTTTTATAATATTTTTTATACGATTCTAGGTGTCAAACTGGAACGAACTGATACAAAATCTTAAAAAATAACCGAAAGGAACTGAAGCTTTTATACCTATCGGTTCGACTCCCTGGTTATAAACGGTTCTCAGTAGACCATAAATTTAAAACTTTAACAACTGAAAAATGTGGTAAACTGTAAAATTTATGGAAATACTAAATAGAAACCCAGAACGTGAAAAAATTATAAGCACAACATCAAAAACGGGTTTTATATTCTAAAATCATTATTTTTAGAAAAATGAAATAAATTTTATAATCGAAATGATTTGTACTTACCTTTAATCCTACTCGAATACCTATAAAAAAATTAAATTTACTTTTAAAGTTTGTGTTACCTAATTTGAGCTCCTTTTAATAATACTCGTATTTTAAACAATTTACTTTTTTGATATATAAGCTTAATTTTGAAGACATTCATATTTTTTTTCAGTACTTGCAGATTTTTTTTAAAGTTTATAATCCTCTTAAAAATATTACAATCAACTCAAATCGCCGTGTTCCGAGTCCGAGGCAACTATCTTAGCTTCTTCGGATCTCGCAGACCTTTTTTCTCCCCCCCCCCCTTTTTATGTTTTAAAAAAAAATTTATATAGTTTTTATATTTATTTTAAATTGTTTACGTGTATTTTTACAGATTATCTTAAAATAGCTTTATATATTATTATATTTTTAAAATTTAATAAATAAAATCTTGAAAACATAAAAATTAATGGAAATAACCATTTAATTTAGTAACTTACATTGAGTACAACCATTGTTGAGTGTATACGTTTGGAAACCAGCTGGGCATACAATATTGGCACATGGAAATGGAGGAATAGTGGATAACGTCGCTATATTTATATGTTTAAAATTATATATAGTAATAAGTATTTCTTATTGTTTTGTTGTAAATAAATGGATTAAAATGAACTTGATGGAGGTTGTTGTGCATTACCAGCCCTTGGAAAATTATCTAGACAAAAATATTGTAAAAAAACAAGTTAAATGTTTGATTACTTATATTTTAATTAAGCATAAACATACCTGCAGCACCACCATTGTCACTGCCGCGTTGTAAAGCTATCCCATTGCCCCAAGTCTTTTTACCTAATGATATATGAAATTATTTGTTTTAGCTAATATTTAAGAAAAATGTTTAAGCACGCTTAAAATTACCTGTCAGTAACTAATTTATTTATTCGCTATTTATAAAACTGGCATGGACTGCAAGTTCCCTTGGATTTGTATTCCGCTTGACATACATCCAAGGGAAGATATAAAAATTTGTTCCGATTATATCAACTTGATTAGAAAGAAAATTGGGGAAGGGGGGGGGGCTCCCGTTGATCTCCAAATCAAGGTTTTAGCTTAAAAAAAATACATTATATTAAAATTATACCGGTCTTCTAATATTAAATTTGCAAGCTCAAGAAGTGGGCCCTTGTGAGAATAGGATTAACTAGGTACTCTGACTATATAGATGTTGATTTCGACCTCGAGAAAAAGAAATATACAGTCAAAGTTTAATATGGGCATCGTTGGACCAAAATTTTTGCCTAAATTAAGGATTTCTTATTTTTTTTTAAAATAAACATTTTTGATCTGCTGTATTCGTAGTTTAGCAAAAAGTGAGATTTCAACCATTTTAAGAATAAAATTAATTTATAAAATAAGATGTTATCTTTGTTTGTTTTTTGGTACAATATGTTTTATTCTAATGGCGTATGATGATATCTACTTTCTATTTGTGAATATTGTGAACAATTCCTTTAGAAATATTAAACCTTTTAGTACATCCTCTCTTTGAATATGCTGATTATTTAAAATCATCTTTTTATTTAAAATTTTTTATTAAAATAAAATGAAAAAGTATATAAAAAATTATAATTTAGCAATCGTTTTCCCAAAAAGAAACCATAATTATATTTGAAAACTTATTTGTATTTTTTTTTGTATAATATATAAAAATTCTTACACTTTGGTGAATAATTTTACCGCAAAGATTTTTTAAAAACTTAAATGTTATAGTCAAAAATGAGCCGTTAGTTGACATGACCTAATGAATTGTTGAGATCTATTTTTTGCAGCCTGGGTAGGCGGATTGATTTTAGTATATGAAGGGAATGAAGGGAGCAAGTATTTAGAAATTTAGTAAGATAAAATTATTTTAATTAACGATAACTAGTTTGCTTTCTTTATTAATTTTGGACGTGAATAGTTTTAAAAAGATGATAAAATTTTATAATATAAATGAATGAATGCAATAAAACATAATAAATGCTCACTTTATAGAGGTCTTACGCACATGGGCAAATAAAAATCGGCCCACTGTTGACCAATTTATAGGGATTTTCCAAAAGTAGTTAATATAAGTTTGATTGGGACCCAAAATTTTGGTCAAATTTGGTAATTGCCCAAATTAAAAAGGTTTGACTATAATCTTAAACTCTCCGCAGCACGGTTACCTGAGTTAGACTTAAATTTAATTATAATAGAAAACTTAATTTTAAAGGAATTAAATTATCATTTTTAGGCTAAACTTTTACAAATTTTAACGAAATCATATTAATTTTTGAAACTTAAAATTTTTTAGAAATATATTTTATACATGGTATTATTTTTCAATAAAAAAATGATTATTTATTTTCATTAAAGTATTCGATTGTAAAAAATAGTAGGCATTCCCGAAAAAAATTCACTTTCAAACCATGTCCAATTTATAATATTTTTTCAGCCCAGTAGAATTTTTAAAACTCCATTATTTTGCAAAATGTTTTAATTGAAAATATGAGAAGTAAATGATTATCCAACTTTCCTTTATATGATACAAAATTTTTGGATATAATTCAATTTTTTTTTTAAATTTAAGCCCGGATAGAATTTTTAAAATAGTAAAATTTTCTGCTCATGGGTTAGGTTCCGGGCAGGGCCGGCAGATCTCTGATATATACAATAGGGCTGGGAAACAAGCAAACGAAAATTTGGAGTTTTGCTGAATTTTTCGAAATAACAGAAACTTGTTTTTGAAAATTCTAATAGTTTAATATAATAATACCAAATAAAAATTTAATGTTAAAAATGTAACAATATAATATTTAGATATTAACAAGAATGTCGTTTTGTTTTATATATAAAAAATTTATACCCTGATTATAGTTTTGTTGTTGATATCCTGTAATAAATATAAAATTTTTCCGAATTAGATTTTATTATGAAAAGTTATATATTTATTAAAATGTAATAATCAGTAATAATTTTAAAAATATAGTGTAATACAATGAAACCAAAATTTTCTCAATTTTAATTGGCCATTTAATTTTCAACCCAAAAAAAATTGGCCCATCGATCTTAAAACTGCTACGCCAGTGGCAAAAACCAATAGCCCCCATCAACCTCTAGGTTTTAGCCTAATATTTGGCTAAACTTAGAGGCTTAAGGGGAATAAGCCAATTGATTTCACAACAGGACTCAAAATTACCTGGAATGATCTCATTACTAAGAAAATGATTTTATTTGGTGAATAAATTATATTTAAATTAGTATAGCTAATTACAAATAATGATGTCTAGACTGACGATTCATAATTTAAATGTATATTAATAAAAATCAGCTGGTGGCAAATTTATTTTTGTTTCCTTCCCATTATAAATAATTTTCATTAAAATTTTATAATTATTTTCATCGTTGCATCTATTATATAACAAATTGAAAAATCAAATTAGCGTATCACCGGCTGCTTTGTATTAAACGACTCTTCATTATACATTGTATGTATTATTTGTCATTGAATGCATCATATATTTTAGTTTGGTTTATAGTAAGAAAATGAAGTCTAATTAAATTCCAGAAACAAAATTATATTACAGTAGCGTAACTAGGGGGTGGGGCGCATGGACTCGAGCCCCCTAAAAAATTTGAAGAACCCCCTCAAAATTTTGATTTTTTTAAATAAAAAAATAGGTATTAGCTAAAAAAAAAAAATTTAATTTTTTGAGCCCCTGAGATTGTAAAGGCTGGTAACCCCCTGTGATATTGCATTCATTAAATTGGCTCGTTTTAATGAAGTTTTTGAACCATAAAGAAATAAGGTGCCCGCTTTTAGTATAGTTCATGCGAATGGGGAAGAAAATAGGGTAGTGATTTTTTGACTCTTAGGAAGAAAAACATTTTTCCGCCCATTTAAATTCTTTGTTAAAAAAAAATTTCTAACC